TCATTACGCAACTTGTTTGTGATTCTTTTGCATTTGACCTTGTAGTGTCTGACCTAGCGGCTGTATGGATGGTCAGCATGGTGCCTTTAACTCTCCATCACAGTGGTCGGTAGGATGCTATAGGATCAATTGTTTGGAAGGTTGTCTCTGCTGACTTACACTCACACCACAAACCCAACAAAACAATTGGTCCTGGAGCTCTGTAGACACAACCACGATCAAAAGTTAAGGCACCATGCTGACCAATCTTACAGCAACTGGGTCACGGCAAAGTCAAATACGTAAAAATATCAATATTAAAAAAGGTTAATATTTAGGTAATGCACGGCTGCAAAGTAACAGCAAAAAAACTATGAAAAAACAACAACTTATATGCAGGTTTAAAAGTAAGAGGTACAAGTAAAAAGTTGTCTGAAAAATAAGTATTCAAGTAAAGCATTGATAGAGTGAGAAAAATTATTTAAATACAAATACTCAATGTCTTGCTCCCTCTGTTTAATCCACATTTTAACAATGAATTTCCAACAAGACATTAAAGCAAGTCTGTTAATTGAATAAGGGAATTAGAAGGAAACTCTACACTTCATGCTCAGACAGAGGTCGACCCCGTGTGACATTGAAGGAAAGGCCAAATACAGAGCAGATACTCTTATGTGAAAACTAAAATCTACCTTATACCTTTAAGCCTCTCTTGTGTTTTCACATTTAGACCTGCTCCTACACCCCACAGCCTGTGTTAAATTCCGATTCGGGCCACTAAGTCCATGTCACCTCCTCTTTGCCTCATTTGATGTCTATTGTCTGTCCAGGCTCCTTCCCCCCAGAGGGATAACGCATCAAAAATACAGCACCGACTTGGAGAATATGAAGGCTTTTTAAAAGCTGTGGTCTCCCGGTGAGGATCTGCCTCTTTGCTGTCGCTAAAGTCATGCATTACCCTGTCACCTCCAATTGCCCGTGAGAGAAAACATGCTCCACTATGGCTGTCTGTCATATCGTCCATTAACTCGCGATTGCTCAGGGTGTTGTTGGGGAACAAAAGCAGCGAGGCCATTAGCATGCATCTTTGCCTAGTTTGTCAAAAAGACCAATGGAATGTAACAATAAAGCCGGGGCACCTGATTTTCAAACAGCGAAACAGGTATTGAAATCCATCTAACGCATCTGTCACAAAGCCTTGGGCACAAAAGTATTCACATGACTTGAATGTTTGGCCGCCAACGCAAACGCAGAGCAGCTTTTTCACACGTATTATTATCCTATCACCAGCCGATCAGCTCTCAGCCCAAAGCATCATAAAGTGGTTCACGAGGCTCTTCCTTAAAGCTGGGGTACCTAACTTTCAAACTATAACTAATTTAGCTAATTAACTAATTTAAAGTCCATGTTGCTAGTTCCTGTTACTAGTTAATTTGTTGTCCTCTGTCACACTCTCAGCCCAAACAGTGACTTACAGTAACTATAAAGTTTGGTTCCCCAGCTTTAAGAATGCAATAATGCCAATGTCCTCTCATTATGTTGCGGTGTCATTGTTACCACAAAAAATACTCAACATTATTAGAAACAACAATTATTTCAGTTGATTGGACCTATGCAAGAATATATTAAGAAAGAAAAAAAATCTCTATCTTTAGCATAATAAGGAGAATGCCTTTCAAATTATAATATTATTATAATATTCATTCTCAAATCTAACAGTAATAGGAGTTCCAGCTTCTTTGTTCACAGACTACACCTTCTAACATCTAATGAACAACTGCTGCATTGAAGAAGAGTTCCTTAGAAGTAGTAAATAAAATAAATAAACATTACATCCTCCCACTGTACCCTGTCATTTCCAACAAACCTTCCATTCAGGCCGAAGTCACTAAAGCCATCAGGAGACATCTCTGGTCATGCGCTCGCACTTTACACACAAAGGAAGAATGTGAGCGGTGAAAGTGTAGAGACCGTCCTGCGTGGGCCTCTCCTAAAACCGTGCGATGACCCTTTCTCTCCCTTTTCTTTCCCGTTTGTTTGAGGAAGGCACTCCCGAATAGCAGCGCTGACAAACACATCCTGACGGCGGTGCTGAGAAAGGCCCCTTCTCCGCACACAGGAGGCTGAGAATGGAATGTGCCCCGTGTTGGAGGTAGCAGGGTGCAACACAAAGCTGTTTTTATCTGACCCACTGGAAATAACATGTATGGAAGCCCGTTTCCGCCATGTAAAAAAAAAAAAAAAGCCTACAGAAAGTCAAAATTTTGACTTTAAAAGTCAAAATTTCGACTTTTAAAAGTCAAAATTTCGACTTTAAAAGTCAAAATTTCGACTTTTAAAAGTCAAAATTTCGACTTTAAAAGTCAAAATTTCGACTTTAAAAGTCAAAATTTCGACTTTAAAAGTCAAAATTACGAGTTTTCAACTGCGCATGTGCAGTTGAAAACTCGTATGTGTTGCTGTCTGGAACGGTCTCTGGTCATCCCTGTTATAGATCTATGACCATGGGTCATCCTCTACCTGCAGATTATGTGAAGATTTTGCCTACAGACAGTGACCACATCCATGAAGTAGCAGCAATAATGTTGTGGTAGTAATCGCGTTAAAATGCAAACGGTCTCTCCGTTTATGATTAGAATCCGCTTCAGAAGCCTCTATTTAGTTTATCCTAAACGGACTGTGGAAGATTAATAATAAAACACATGTGGCTGTTCAAAGTCATTGAGCATCAACTGGTGACATCTGGTCAGTATCACGGCTATCGATGGATGCACCAGAAATGCAGTGAATAATATTGTGACTGACAGAGAGACCGTTCGCGATTACAGGACAGTGAGGGAGGTCCGCAGACAGAGGCAGGAGAACCACAGACAGAGGCAGGAGAACCACAGTCACGGGCACTGACAATAATACCCTTTTGGAATTGCGATCAGTGCATTGAAGAGTATGTGACGTGTTTGCGTGCATGCGGGGGTGAGCTGATGGAGCGTGCGGGTAAAGTTGTTGGCGTATGAGCAAGAACACAGAGACATACAGGGAATAAGTACCTTGTCTGATTATTTTATTGTGACAAAATAAAGCCCACGACTCTTTTAGCAACAATCCGGAGAAATAACTCCGCAGATAACAGTGAGGGTCTTTGAAAAGGGTTAGAAATAGATAAACCCATTATAGATGCATGAATAAAACCCCGTACTCAACACGTAGAAAGCGCATCCTTTCAGCCGTGGAAATACTCGCTCCGTGTGGACCCCTCTCAGCGCCATCGTCTGGTCAGAGTGGTCTATAGCAGATTGGATTGGAATGTCTCGATGGCTCATTTTCCTTTGATTTATTATAAAAACGTATTGCTCACATTATTTGTTACTATGTCGAAATAAGAAGTCGTTTGATTTAAATGCTGTATATATGTAAATTGAATTTAACATAAATAAATAAAAAGACAGCTCCTCCCTGCCTCCTACGACCGCGGTCTGGGGCTTAAACAGGAACGTTTTACAGAATCAATCAAACAACATTATTTCTGGCTACTTCAAGGATGCAGTGGTCGCTGTCAGCAATATCTTCACATAATCTGCAGGTGCAGGACGTCCAGAGACCGTTCCAGACAACAACACACACGAGTTTTCAACTGCACATGCGCAGTTGAAAACTCATAATTTTGACTTTTAAAGTCGTAATTTTGACTTTTAAAGTCGAAATTTTGACTTTTAAAAGTCGAAATTTTGACTTTTAAAGTCGAAATTTTGACTTTTAAAGTCGTAATTTTGACTTTTAAAGTTGAAATTTTGACTTTTAAAGTCGAAATTTTGACTTTTAAAGTCAAAATTTTGACTTTCTGTAGGCTTTTTTTTTTTTTTTACATGGCGGAAACGGGCTTCCATAAACATGCAATAAAAGTCGTGCGGATGTTTTATGATCGCATGCTAAGTACTTCTCCTAATGGTGGGAGGGACACTCCAACTTTAAAAGATGCTTTGTCGGACACTTGTTCAAGAAGAAGATGATGGAGATGATTGCAACATGTGGCTATACAGTGGAGTATGGCGTTGGATTGAGGTGACCCAGAGAGTGTGTTTACAAAGAATAAGAAATATATAACAGGTTAAGAAACTGACTCAGTTTAGTGTTGCTTTAAAACGGTTTGACCACTTCGAGATCCTCCATTCGCCCTGCTGAGTAGCTGGAGCCTTGGGACTTGCCTAGTAACCCACATTTTGGAACAGTTATTTAAAAACACCCCTCCCCATTATTTAACCATGAAAGTTGCATTGAGATTTCAACATCACTTTTTCAGGCTAGCTTGTAAATGTTTTTTTAGAGGTAGGGTAAAAACTGAAGCACCCGGAGAAGAACACGGGGAGAGCATGCAAACCCCACTCCGAAAGGACCTGTGCTAACCAGGATTCAAACCCAGGACCTCGCTGAAAAGCCGGAGTGCTAACCACTCAGCCACCGTGCGGCGCATGAATTGAACAGTAATTGCATATGCACACATTTGTCAAATGTAATCACCCAACATGTCGTTTACTTTGAGCGTTTGCTTTTCACACATGCCCAACTTAATTTTTTTATGTAGATGAAGTTAACGCAACATGTTAATTGCTTTTTACTCACAGAAGGAAACCAAACAACACAAAGAAACACATTCATTGCATTAAATAGAATGAGTGAGAAGTCTATTATGCGTTAAAAAACATATATATAAGCAGGTTTTTCACTCTGCTCTTAAATGCATTTGTTGGCTGTGTCTCAATGGGATCCGTTTTACATGGTTTTATGCCAGTTTTGTGTTTCATGAATCTTTCTCAGTCTAATTAAATTGGACTCGACAGGGGTCCGGTTTTCACTTTGTAAATGATTAATTTTGTGCTAGTTTTTGCTTCATGTAAATAGGTCAAGTAACAACATTATTTTTAGAGTTTTGTAGATCATTCTTTTATCTTAAAAAAACATTACTCATATGAAATCCTCATATGAAGCCTATATTTCAGAGCGTACAAATTTCTCCTTGTTCTTACCTGTTGACTAAAGCACCATCTCTTCTACCACTCTGCGTGCTGATTGGTCCATTTCCTCCCTGACCAGTGTAAGGCAGCGACGGGCCAGAGCCTGCTGACGGGCGTCTTCGTGAACCATCAGCTCTCCGTACAGATACACGCCCATCGCCTGTAGGGGTGGAAGTCATTACTGTATGTAATCATACGCCGCACACACAAGACACTACAAACATTTATTTGATACTTCTTCATCTGTTCTTGTTTCAAGCAGATGTTTGAGAAGAACATGATTAGAGACAATAGAAACAATGTTTTGTTTTGTCACAGTACTCCTCAGATAGAGCATAAACCAGATGTGTTGAAACTGCATACACTTCATAGACAACAGCTGAAAAATGTCCTGAAAATGCACATGTTTTTGAGTAATGTTGCTAACTAACAAAAACACAACCCCCTGGTGTAGGTTATGATACTTTACACAATTCCTGATTCATTTATGTGTTATTTCTGCTCTATTTGAGTTTAAAAATCACATCTCAGCACATACAGTGGCTGTAGAAAGTCTGTGTACGGTGTTGCTCGCAATGACAATCCCAAAACATCACATATGGAAGAATGGACCAAAATATCAATTACAGAGTGTCCATAACAAGCCCAGGGTCTCCAAGATGTCTGCCCATTAGAATCAATGGCCTGTGCTCATGACGCATGCTCGCACTACAAACGTCCAAAAGATTAGCGGAAGGGATGCATTTTGGCCAGCTCTGGTCTTCCTGGTCTGGTGCAGTCGGTGCACAGTGGTTCTACTTGCACAGGAGCTGAGTGAAGATGGGTTTGCTCATGTTGCTCTCATGCTAGACCGGGACAAGAATGAATTCAGACTGAGTTGCATAAAAGAGTGGATTTATAAAAAATCCACACTTCAAAATTAAAAAGTTAAGGATGACGAGGGACACTAAAATACCCACAAAAACGGTGAAAGCTAAATTCCTTGTCAGCTGAGGAAGTGCCGCTTTAGTTCCCATTGAAGCTGAAGCGGCTGGTGTCCCATTATGGATATTTATTAACATTAAATGGACATTGGTCATCCACCCCCTATGGACCCATGGCTCTCATGTGTTTTGCATTTCCTGTGTTCAAACTGTAGAATTTAAGTTAATTGAAATCGAATTATCCATGCTGGTTAGATAGTAATACCCTATCTACATAATATAATACGTCCATGACTCCAACCTGGCACTCCAGGAGAAACGTTCAAGCTCTGTCATTGCTAACTAAGGTCACATTAAAAGTTCTGAACTGAACAAATAATGTGTTTTCAAGAGAAGTGACAAAAAATAAAAAAATTTTTTAGAGTGGGACAACTTGCACAATCGGAAATTGTCAGATACTTTTGTGCCCCATTTTATGTGTTGGAGTCTTTCTATGAAAGAGTCAACAGTTAATGTATTCCTAAAACAGTTGTAGATTATTGAAAGAGATTAATCGTTACCCACTTTCTCCTATTAACGGTGCTCATACAGTGCCTTGCGAAAGTATTCGGCCCCCTTGAACCTTTCAACATTTCGCCACATTTCAGGCTTCAAACATAAAGATATAAAAATTATATTTTTTGTCAAGAATCAAAAACAAGTGGGACACAATCGTGAAGTGGAACGAAATTTATTGAATAATTTAAACTTTTTTAACAAATAAAAAACTGAAAAGTGGGGCGTGCAATATTATCCGGCCCCCTTGCACTAATACTTTGTAGCGCCACCTTTTGCTGGAATTACAGCTGCAAGTCGCTTGGGGAATGTCTCTATCAGTTTTGCACATTGAGAGACTGGAATTCTTGCCCATTCTTCCTTGCAAAACAGCTCGAGCTCAGTGAGGTTGGATGGAGAGCGTTTGTGAACAGCAGTCTTCAGCTCTTTCCACAGATTCTTGATTGGATTCAGGTCTGGACTTTGACTTGGCCATTCTAACACCTGGATACGTCTATTTGTGAACCATTCCATTGTAGATTTGGCTTTATGTTTTGGATCATTGTCCTGTTGGAAGATAAATCTCCGTCCCAGTCTCAGGTCTTTTGCAGACTCCAACAGGTTTTCTTCCAGAATGGTCCTGTATTTGGCTCCATCCATCTTCCCATCAATTTTCGCCATCTTCCCTGTCCCTGCTGAAGAAAAGCAGGCCCAAACCATGATGCTGCCACCACCATGTTTGACAGTGGGGATGGTGTGTTCAGGGTGATGAGCTGTGTTGCTTTTACGCCAAACATATCGTTTTGCATTGTGGCCAAAAAGTTCGATTTTGGTTTCATCTGACCAGAGCACCTTCTTCCACATGTTTGGTGTGTCTCCCAGGTGGCTTGTGGCAAACTTTAAACAAGACTTTTTATGGATATCTATTTAAGAAGAAATGGCTTTCTTCTTGCCACTTTTCCATAAAGGCCAGATTTGTGCAGTGCACGACTGATTGTTGTCCTATGGACAGACTCTCCCACCTCAGCTGTAGTTATCTGCAGTTCATCCAGAGTGATCATGGGCCTCTTGGCTGCATCTCTGATCAGTCTTCTCCTTGTTTGAGATGAAAGTTTAGAGGGACGGCCGGGTCTTGGTAGATTTGCAGTGGTCTGATACTCCTTCCATTTCAATATAATTGCTTGCACAGTGCTCTTTGAGATGTTTAAAGCTTGGGAAATCTTTTTGTATCCAAATCCGGCTTTAAACTTCTCCACAACAGTATCTCGGACCTGCCTGGTGTGTTCCTTTGTCTTCATGGTTCTCTCTGCGCTTTAAACAGAGCCCTGAGACCATCAAAGAGCAGGTGCATTTATACGGAGACTTGATTACACACAGGTGCATTCTATTTATCATCATCAGTCATTTAGGACAACATTGGATCATTCTAAGATCCTCACTGAACTTCTGGAGTGAGTTTGCTGCACTGAAAGTAAAGGGGCCGAATAATATTGCACGCCCCACTTTTCAGTTTTTTATTTGTTTAAATTATCCAATACATTTCGTTCCACTTCACGATTGTGTCCCACTTGTTGTTGATTCATGACAAAAATTTTTAATTGTATATCTTTATGTTTGAAGCCTGAAATGTGGCGAAATGTTAAAAGGTTCAAGGGGGCCGAATCATTTCGCAAGGCACTGTAGCTGATATCTGAATCTTTGAGTTGTCAGAATTGTTCTTTATAAATGCATTTGAATGATGATTGATACTTGATCGATGGAAGAGTTCAGTCCCGAAACTACAGTCAAGACCAAGATGAAGCAAAGTTCAAACCAGGAATCACATGTTTATGAAAAACAAGTTCTTATGTGAGTTTTATCATTCAAGTAACCACCGCTCTCGTCTTCTCTCTTCACCACTGATTGCCTCATGTTTTTTACTGCTTCATAAATCATCAACGTATAAAACCAGCATTTGGAGAGCGCTCACCTGGTCATGAATGAGGAAGTACTCCACATCTGCGTATGCCTGAGAGAAGCGCTGTTTCACAACCAGCTCACACCAGCGATGTCTAACCTGATGGACCAAAACACAAGGAAAACACATCAGCATCATCCTTGTAAATGTATCCTTACGATAATAGGCTTTGCACAATAGACTGGCTCATCATTGCAAGACGGTAAAACGACAACATTGACAAATATTGACCTAAACCAAATGAGAGCGAATGCAAATGCCAATATACAATACAGCAAATCATACCATGTACTGTTGTTGAATGACTAATGTCTTTCCCGTGCGCTTTCACATTTATTCAGCATCACCTTTAAATATTCTGCATTCATATAGTTGTTGGTTAGGACTATTTCATTGCATTTTAAGTCAATTTTGGTTGATGCATTTTTCAAATCCATACCCAACTATCCAGAGGCAGCGTTTGACTTTCACAAGAGTTCGTAGGAGTGCAATGTTGGGAGGGAGTGTGTGTGTGTGTGTGTTGTGTGTAGCATACTAAACAAGCAATAACACTAGCAGCATGTTCAATTATCGCACACAGAGCCGAACGTGGGTGGTTCAAACAAGACGCCAAAGGGTTCTGTGGTCAATCCAAGTCACCCACTTTGCCTGTGCTAATGTATTGTGATCAACTGGTGTTTTTTGGAGCTGGATTCACAACGATGCAGTCCTGCCTCTGTCACGGTCTTCCAGGAGAGCTTTGACTTGTGACAAATGCATTACAATAATCCACATGCATGGCAGTTTTGTATTCAGTCCATTCCATTTTCTTCCATTTTGTCCAATGCCTGGTCTCGGGGCAGCAGTCTTGAGTCTAATTCCCTCTCCACAAACATATCCTCCAGCTCATCTAAGGGTTCCCAGGCCAGCTGAGAGACATAGCCCAGCATGGAGGGTCTTCTCTGGGGCTTTCTCCTAGTGGGAAATGCTTAGAACCTCTCAGGGGAGAAGCAGCGGCTCTACTCCAAGCTCCTCCTGTGCGACCGAGCTCCTCACCCTATCTCTATGTGAGCGCCCAGCCACTCTGCGGAGTAAGCTCATTTCAACAGCATGTATCCGTGATCTCATCTTTTCGGTCATTACCCAAAGCTCATGACCACTGGTGAGGGAGGGAACGAAGATTGACCGGTAAATCGAGACGGTCCGATACAGCGACCGCATCACTGCTCACGCTGCACCAATCCGCCTGTCAATCTCACGCTCCATCCTTCCCTCACTCGCGAACCTCGAGATGCTTGAACTCCCCCACTAGGCAGGGTACCATTTTACAGTCGAGCACCTAGGCCTTCAATTCGGAGGTGCTGATTTTTATGCAATAAAAGTCGTGCGGAAAATATAGATTCAAATACAGTACTGTAACTATAGTGTGTGCGCATGTGTGTGTGTGTGTGGGTGCGTGTGTATGTGTGTGAAAGCCGATGCCTGGCCTTTCTTTCCCAGGATCAATAGAAGCTCTGTTGCCGAGGTTACAGCCCAGATCGGAGCCGTGTCCCGTCTCAGCCATCATAGTGCTGCAGTGTGTTCAGGTGCGTACACATTCGAGAGCGGAGGAGTCCACATGAAGGATGCCTCTACACACTGTCACTACACACTCCTGATGACCTATACTTTTCTCTTGCTGTTTTTTTATAGCACATACCATGTCTATTACACACTAAATTTAAAGGACAACTCACCCTCAAATACACTTTTTTTTGCTGATAAACTGTATAAATGAGTGTCCAATAGTGTTGTCTACATATCCTGGTCATAATCTTGTCACTTTGGTGCAAATTAGTTGAAAGTTAGACTTTCTGCCTAAAACCGTCTGTGAGGCGCCATCTGCTGGCGACCTGTATTACTACATTTGAATTTTGAATCTGGCGCCAACACTGGCACAGAAGTTGGACCTGACGTCTGCAAGTTGGACCTGACGTCAGCAGCCCCCCGCCCAGAGCAATATAAACGGCCCAGTCTCGTTCACGCCCCCTTCAGTCCTCCAGGCTACGCCCATTTAGAGGAAGATTTGAACAGGAAATGTGAGTGACGTAAGCTCCGAGGAGCGGGGGTGAGAACCACTTTAAGTTGGTGCAATTCAGTACGTCAACATATTAATGATTGGCACAAAACATCTGCACAGTAAGAATGGACCAGTTTAGTTGACTTAACTGACAAGCATGCAAAAAGGAAATAAAATTGATATATTGTGATCCGAGCTTCGTGGATCTTTTCAGGTGATTGACATAAAAGCTAGAACCGTTAACTGATGGATGTTACTTTGCTGTTAGCCTCCTTTTGTCTACTGCACTGCTTCATGGAACTTCAAATATTTGTGAAAGACAGGTTCCTTGAGTCTTTTTTTCCAGAAAATTGTTTGCTCTAGGAAACTGATATTGAAAGTGTACTGCTACAGATATTTTTCTTCACTTTTTTTTTCTTTCAGTCCTTACTTATTTGTGTTTACTCTCAGTCCACTTACATTTGAAGAATAGCTTGGGTACTTTTTCTGGTTTCTAAATAATACATTTTGTTTGCCTTAATAGGACCAGTCTTCATACCACAACATACTCTCTTCACCTCAATCCACCTCTTATATTTATGGATATTAATTAACATTTAAGGACATTGGTTATCAGCCTGTTATGGTTAGTTTTTTTTAATTTATTTTATAATTACCCTAGTCCTTCATTTTTCACTTTTCTGTCTGTAAAAGCTGATCTAAAGAGGTGTTTAAAATCTAGTAATGGGGAAAGAACATGGATCCATAGTTCAATTGTTTGTGTTTTGAATGTCAAGTACCCCAGCTTTAAAATTAAACTTCTAAGGACTGGAAATTAGCCCTGAAGTCTTGTCTAAGCACTGTCACTATACTCCATAGCTCCGCACTTTCCCCGGACAGCCTTTTCACAGCTTTTCCATCACCCCACACTCTGGATCATAAACTAGTCGGACGCAGCGCAGCGTAGTGATTTACTCGTTTTCAGCACCTCCTGGCCCGGCCATAACTCCAGTCGCTTTGCTTTTGTCATTTTAACTTAGTGCTCCCAGTCTACTACACCTAATACAACCTCTCAGACAAGCTCTTTTGCACTCATAGTTCACGGCTGTTCACCCAGCAGCAAAATGGAGTATACTAAAACATGAGAAAATATATTGGTTGTCTCTCCATTTCTTCAATGTGACGCCCCTTTCTCAAAGTACTGATTTTAAGTACAAAAAATGTCAGTTTTATGATTCACCATCACAGGTTAATCACTTATCACGTCTCAATGGAGCTAAACGGTAGATGGATAGCTATTTCTCAAGGTAAAAGTTATTATAAATGTATTATTATTCAATGCTAAATAACTAAATTCATTGATGTATTGAAATTATGCTCATGGGGTGGGAATCTACAAGTATCTATCTAAGAAATGCAAAGATTGTAAATGCTTATGTATGTATTGTAATGTATAATTTCTGCTTGAATTAATACAATCGGTAAAATCAATCAATCAAAAGTTCATGGATTGAAATACAACAGTTTAAAATGGAAAGTTTGTAGATGTGACATATTGTGACGAAAAAATGAAAACTGAATTGGTGCCGTTATTAGAGCAATAAGAAGTACAGTAGTTTAAAGAGTATGGAACCAGAAAGAGCCCCTTACTTTTCACATAGAACAAAGTGGTTTGAGGTAATGTTTGTGTGATGGAGAATCCTTTATCGACCTCATGAAGCTGTGACTGTAGTTCAAACACCGATGCTTATTTCATGAATTTGCTTTGTTTGGCTTTGTTCTCTTTCTCACGTGGAATATCAAAGTGACTCCAATTGAGTCCCGCCTCTATGTTATACGACCGAAATACTATAAAAAGGAGGCTCTGGACTAAAGCAGGCATAAGCAGACCGAACAAGGGCGTTGTCTAATTTTAATTGACTATTCGCTGCTTTGGATCATCCGACTTAAATGTACTCTGACTATAAAGATTTGCCTTAGAATTCATTATAAATCATTTAGTAATCTGTAAAATTGTATTTCCAGGTTGCATTTTTGATTATTGGAGGTATTTTTCCGCATTGACAGTAGCTTCAAATGTGCATCGAGAGAACTATTTGCACAAGGCTACAATCCTTCTCAATATCGAGAGGAGCCAGTTGAGGTTCTAGGCATGTCCCACTGGGAAGGGCCCCCGGAAATACCCAGGACACGTTGGAGGGACTATGTCTCTCAGCTGTCCTGGGAACACCTCAGGATTCCTCTGGTAGAAAAAAGTAATAGCCTCTTTCTTTCATGGCAAAACAATTGTGATTTCTCTGACTTAAACACATTGCGTGTAAGTAACTGTTCCTCATCTGAAAAACTCCAGCAGTACCCCCCACCTGTTTATGCAGCAAAACAATTGCATTCTGTCTGCATTATCGCCACCGTCTAATAAATAAACATGACTTTAATTGGTCTCAGATGGCTCTCCCGCATACATTGCACTTCTCCATTTTGTGCCCCTGTCTGCTGCGGGTGATGGCTCTTCATCTCTCCCAGCAGGATCCTCTAAAAGCTATGGCTGCAACTTTGAGCCGAGCGTGTAAAGTGAGTGTGTAGTGAACGTGCCCCATGGTGTCATGGCTGCCCTTCTGCCCGCGTAGCCCCAGCAGCTGTTCACGGAGCTGGGGTTGCATTCCTGGGGAGAGCCCTGGGGCACAGCAGCTGCCTTGTGCACCTCTTCTAACCTCCGTCTTATAAAAAAAAAAAGAAGAAAAATCTGCTTCCTTTTGCAGGGCCCCTAACCCTGACAGCACATGCAATTACAAAGTGACATTCCTTCATTTATTACAGTAGCGCCACGCCTACCTCACCCTCCACTGCCGCTCACGCTCTATGCTTTTACACACGGCTAATATGCATGAACTACTCACCAATGCATGACAATGTGCTGGCGGAAAATTGATCTAAAAAAATCTGTTAAGGTAGAATTTATAGTCCTAGTAGCTGATGGTTGACAAGCAAAGCAACAGTGTTTAGGCTTCAGTTCTTGTCCAGGTGAGGCCTGTGCAACACAAATGTCAAACCAGACAGTAAAACAATAAATTGAGAACATTAT